CACCTTCAAATCATAACATTAAGTGGCTTATGTGGCTCCATATAAAAGGAATGTGTTTGAAATGGAAGTTTAATCATATTAAGAATCTTATAAATCTATGACAGGAATTACTGCTTTAATATTATCATATTATGAATTTCATTTTCAAAATCTTGCAGAGGGAGCACTTGAGCTTTTTTCAAGCCCACGTACACAGAGAACCTTCGTTTTCCACTGCACAGTGGCACCTCGTTTACTACCTAGTAATACAGCAGGCCCGTCCCACTGCACCTGTCTGTTTGTGATATGTGCTGTTGTCGCTGTTGTTCCCGCTGCTGTTCTAATTGCTGTTGCTGCTTCGCCTCCAGATTCCCCGCTGAACTCAAACACCCCTGCCTCACACTTTTTAGTAACATGCAGTTGTCATGACAAGTACTAGAGTTCCCACTCAAGCTGCCTCTTCCTATAGTGCCTGCAACACACCCCTTCTCCCCACCAGCACCCCCTTCACTTCCTCCCCTCTCTCAGTCTTTGAAGCCTTGTGGGATGATGATGACACCCGCCGTAATCGGTGGATGCTCAGCTTCTGATGTGACACACAATCGAGAAAGCCTTTCAAACTGATCCAGGTTTCAATGTTGCATTCAGGCACAGTGACAAGTGGAAGTCAGCGAGGTGAGGCCTTGATTGACAGACCTGTTGAGAAAGCACAGCCAGCTCTGGTACCTGTCTGATCTCTGCTCAGCAGTGGCGCATAATGGCTCTGCTGACCTGCTTTTTTTTCCCACTAACTGGATCTGGGATCAGCTAATCTTCAGACGGGGACGGGGATGAGATTAGTCCATTTATGTTTGTGTAGCAAGGCAGATTTGAGATTGAGGGGATGTACTGTATGTAGACTGAGACAGGGGACCAGGCTTCAGGCAATAATGGAAAGTAACTTACATACAGTGGGTACGGAAAGTATTCTGACCCCCTTAAATTTTTCACTCTTTGTTATATTGCAGCCATATGCTAAAATCATTTAAGTTCATTTTTTCCCTCATTAATGTACACACAGCACCCCATATTGACAGAAAAACACAGAATTTGACATTTTTGCAGATTTATTAAAAAAGAAAAACTGAAATATCACATGGTCATAAGTATTCAGACCCTTTGCTCAGTATTTAGTAGAAGCACCTTTTGAGCTAATACAGCCATGAGTCTTTTTGGGAATGATGCAACAAGTTTTTCACACCTGCATTTGGGGATCCTCTGCCATTCCTCCTTGCAGATCCTCTCCAGTGCTGTCAGGTTGGATGGTAAACGTTGGTGGACAGCCATTTTCAGGTCTCTCCAGAGATGCTCAATTGGGTTTAAGTCAGGGCTCTGGCTGGGCCATTCAAGAACAGTCACGGAGTTGTTGTGAAGCCACTCCTTCGTTATTTTAGCTGTGTGCTTAGGGTCATTGTCTTGTTTGAAGGTGAACCTTCGGCCCAGTCTGAGGTCCTGAGCACTCTGGAGAAGGTTTTCGTCCAGGATATCCCTGTACTTGGCCGCATTCATCCTTCCCTCGATTGCAACCAGTCGTCCTGTCCCTGCAGCTGAAAAACACCCCCATAGCATGATGCTGCCACCACCATGCTTCACTGTTGGGACTGTATTGGACAGGTGATGAGCAGTGCCTGGTTTTCTCCACACATACCGCTTAGAATTAAGGCCAAAAAGTTCTATCTTGGTCTCATCAGACCAGAGAATCTTATTTCTCACCATCTTGGAGTCCTTCAGGTGTTTTTCTTTTTTTAGCAAACTCCATGCAGGCTTTCATGTGTCTTGCACTGAGGAGAGGCTTCCGTTGGGCCACTCTGCCCTAAAGCCCCGACTGGTGGAGGGCTGCAGTGATGGTTGACTTTCTTTGACTTTCTACAACTTTCTCCCATCTCCCGACTGCATCTCTGGAGCTCAGCCACAGTCATCTTTGGGTTCTTCTGTACCTCTCTCACCAAGGCTCTTCTCCCCCGATAGCTCAGTTTGGCCGGACGGCCAGCTCTAGGAAGGGTTCTGGTCGTCCCAAACGTCTTCCATTTAAGGATTATGGAGGCCACTGTGCTCTTCGGAACCTTAAGTGCAGCAGAAATTCTTTTTTTTTTTGTAACCTTGGCCAGATCTGTGCTTTGCCACAATTCTGTCTCTGAGCTCTTCAGGCAGTTCCTTTGACCTCATGATTCTCATTTGCTCTGACATGCACTGTGAGCTGTAGGGTCTTATATAGACAGGTGTGTGGCTTTTCCTAATCACGTCCAATCAGTATAATCAAACACAGCTGGACTCAAATGAAGGTGTAGAACCATCTCTGGGATGATCAGAAGAAATGGACAGCACCTAAGTTAAATATATGAGTGTCACAGCAAAGGGTCTGAATACTTATGACCATGTGATATTTCAGTTTTTCTTTTTTAATAAATCTGCAAAAATGTCAAAAATTCTGTGTTTTTCTGTCAATATGGGGTGCTGTGTGTACATTAATGAGGAAAAAATGAACTTAAATGATTTTAACATATGGCTGCAATATAACAAAGAGTGAAAAATTTAAGGGGGTCTGAATACTTTCCGTACCCACTGTACATACGTATCATTTTGAGTATTTGCATTTTGTGCTACTTTATATTTCACTACATTTCAGACTAAAAACTATGCTTATGAGTTACTTTGCAAATTAGGATTACATGCATATGAACATATACCAAATATTATATGGTATACTTGTATTTGACCTTTTACATTGAGGTATTCCTACTTCTGAGTGATCTGAGTACTTCCTGCACCACTACAATAAAATGCATTTAAGTATTGTACTTAATTATGAAGTATTTGTGTTATATTGAGCATTTATATTGATGTTACTTTATACTTTTACTCCATTACATTTCAGAGGCACATTTTACTCTCTCTACATTTATTTGACAGCTATAGTTATTTGTACCATGACTACTATGAATGTAAACAAAACAATTTTAGATTAAATAGTCAACATAGTGCTTATACATCATTGACATAGCAGGAGTAATCCAAAGATATCACATTACACTGACAGTGAGTTTTGATATTTTCGGTATATTTTGCTACTAATGGAAGAATAATTTTACTTGTAATGAAGCATTTACTACATTGTGATATCACAACTTTGCCCTAAGTAAATGATAGGAATATTTCTTTGGCACTGGTTTCAGGATAGTGTTAGATATCTCAAGATATATGTATGGTGTTTATTCTATGGCGTCGTGTTGTTTTGTCCCTTGCTGCTGCTGGAACACTGGAATTTCTCCACTGTGGGATCAATAAGGTTCTACCTACCTACCTAGTAAACAAGAGAGGTACACTGAGAAAAGACAGGCGTAGCATGGAATGGAACCTCACCCAGCAGGTTCTGTCTCTGCATTCTTACTGAGCAACAATTTCTGAACACTGATTCATTCGCTAGTCTTTGTAACTGTGCCCACAGAGATCGCTTCCTGGTAATAGACTATCAATCAGGCCACCTTTCTATGGCAGCCTCCTTCTTCTCAGGCAGTATCATTCCTGTAAGCCTAACCCTTATGTAATGTGGCCCTTCAGTATTTTAGATGTTTTGATCCAACACCAGCTAGGTAGATTTATTTTTGTTGCTAGCCGCCCAGTGAAAAACATGTTTGTATGGTTTCACTTTGACCAGAAGTGTTTACCAAAGCTCATATTTCAGAGTGAGCACTACCACAAGAACATGTGCTGTACTGGGCTATTTCTGATGCAGGGGGTGTGTGTTGGAGTCCCCCTGTAATAGCTATAGTTAGAAGAGTGAAGGGAGCTATCCACCATCACTACTGGGAACTGGCTGCTGCAACAGTTTGGTTTTAAGTGTAATCTGAAAAGCTTGTCAGTACCACAGAAATTTGCCTCAAGGGGAAACGACAGGCTGGTAATATTTCTGTAGGGTCTGCTAATGTGCATGTGCCATGTTTTCATCCCCTATTTTGTCACTATGCTGTCTTATAACTGAACATCTGCAACAAGGATTTATGTTTGGAGACCATTACTTTACCCTCCTACTGCTAATTTAGGACATATTTGATTGTGATGTTTTTCCTTGTATGTGTTGAATATCAGTGCATCTCTTGGTATGTTTTCATTCTTTGGCAAATAGCAGTGTTGTCACATTTAAAATGTTCTTTGCATTTTCACCAAAAGCAACATCCCCTCTAAACTCCTCAGATGGTTTCATTTAAATACATTTTTGGTCAATTTAGTTTTTTCGTCATTGTCACACATCATTTAACTGAGGAGGCTTTACACAACATATGAAACTGTCTATTCAGATAAGGAAAAACTCCCCATGAAACCCCCTTTAACAGGGAGAAAATGGAAGAAACCTTGGGAAAAGCAACAGAGAGATCTACCCCCTCCCCCTCCATGGACAGACAGTTATGTGCAAGACATGTGCAAGAAATGATGTGTGTACAGAATAGACTAAAACAGAAATATTACAAAATGTAAAGTAAGGATGACACTATTACAGACAGGCTAAATGACATGCATAAAGTATATAGACTGAAGATGTGGAACAACTTTCGGGTGCTGCCAAAATGATAAAACTTAAGCCACAAAAAGGGCAAACTCTAAAATTTAACCTAAGGATATGGCAAAAAAAAACCTTTGTGTAGCAGAAATTTGTTTTTCCTTCCTTCCTAAACCACTAAGCAGCTCACAACCTTGTAGATTTATCTTGTGACCCTTTAGAGACACATATAAACTAGTTAAATTTATAGCTCCCACTGGAGCAGCTCCAGCAGTAAAATGCTGCTTAAGCACTGCTGCCTTGCAATCTAATGTCAATAATATATCAGTTATCACTCAATTATCAGGAGCCTTCTTTCCTGGGCTAGTACCCTGCGTTCTTTTAAGGTTGTTTAACCTCTTGTTGGTTCCCAGGTAGGCCTCTTACTGCATTAGTACCTTTGCCTAAAAGAGCTTACTCTGTGGGCGACAATGAACTTCAATCTACGAATAAAATCAATAAGTACTCGAAAGCATGAGGGCTCAACAACGTGTTGCTTCTGTCTTATAAACGTGTTCAGAAGGGACTTAGTCATTGGTCCAACATCCGCTTGTCCCACCCCCGAACATATATGGCCATCTGATTGGCTTTACTGGAAGCTCGAGCAGTGGGCTGATGGCTCGACTGATGAATATTCATGACACCGGTTCTCTCAGTTCAGGCCTCACCCTGAATGTCTCTGTGTGTGGCTCATCGGAACAGAATGTTTGTAATGTAACGTTAGACTTTTATTTCACCGGAAGCCGAACCATACTGTTCACTCACAGGACAGCAAATTGCACGGTAAGTTACGTGCGGGATGAGGCAGTTGGTTGACAGCTGCTACGCGTAATTATGCGCCTTAAATCATTGGGTATATTTATCTTTTTTTTTAAATAGTTGAGCCGAAGGTTTGCAGTTTTTTTAGAAGAGCAGTGATATCCCCATTATGTGTGTACCCTATATCCTGCCATTTTGAAGCCACTCCTCTTCTAGAACATGTTTCTGCTCTGCTATGTGCTATTCCAGGTCAGTTGGATCCAGTTACCACTTCAGTGGAAGAACTTGACAAACAGGTACTGGGACCGCCTTTGAAGTATAAAGGCGCAGCAGTCTCTCCTGAAACCATAAGAACTGTGCCAAACCACCAGCGCGGATTGCCCGGTTTCCGCTGCAGCATTAAGACGACCAGTCCAGAATTAAAGCTGGGAGCTCACACGGGAATAAACAAGACAAGGAACACGGGCCTCTGCTTTCACATCTGTTCCTGAAAAGAGAAATCCCGCCAAGATGATGATGATGCAGCTGATGGAGACCCCCAACCAGAAAAATTCCCTCTTCAACGCCATGAACCGCTTTATTGGCGCCGTCAACAACATGGACCAGACGGTTATGGTACCGAACCTGCTGCGGGATGTCCCGCTGGATGAGGAGAGGGAGATGAGCTCCGTGAAATCGGATGTGGACGAGGGGGACATGTACAGCTACTACCAGCTGCTAAAGTCCATCCGCCGGGACATCGAGTGGGGTGTCCGGGGCGCCGCAGCTGATGAGAAGCGCAAGGAGAGCATGGAGATCATCCGTAGGAACTCGTCCGTATCCGCCTCCTCCTCCGTATCAGGATCATCCGAGGAGGACGAAGAGGATGACGAGGATTTGGCGAAGCAGTTCCAATACCATCTGACCGGGCTGCAAGAGGTGCTGTCCAAGCTCACACAGCAGGCCAACTGTCTCACCAAGCGCTACAAACAGGAGATTGGCATCGGAGGATGGGGCCAGTAAACTCGGATCCTTCAGGAACTGAAAAACCTGGATTATTATATGGGACAGGCGGACATCTCTCAATAGCCTTTATGAATGCTGCTGCTACTACCAATGGCATAATGGGCACACATTTGAATGGTAGAATAAAGGGCATCTTATTTCTGTGTTGGTCTGCTCTGTGGAAGAGACTGTAGATGTGTTGATCTCGAAGAAAGCATTTGTGTACTTAACACCAAACTCTCTTATTTTGCACTCCAAAGTGTTATACACGACATGCTTTCAGTGATACACAGATGAAACGTATTTAAACCTTTATTTAATGTATAATTTATTACCTCATGCTGTATGTCTGACAGAGCCAGATACTATTTCAAAGTTGGAGAAGAAATGAACTGTATGAAATACAGGACCTGTCGTTTGAACCGCCCTTCTGAGGGGGAATCTGACAAAAGATTTAGCTTCCTCTCTGTGTTGCTACTGATGTTAGTGTGTTCAGATATATTTGTCTGCGTATGACCAGTGCTACCTTCTATCTGATATGTCTGTGTCTTTAAATAGTTTGTGAATGGAAGGAGGCAGATAGTTGCCTATGAGCTCCTAATATCCAAATGGTCAATGAACTGGAATCATCTGATAATTCTTCCTTGTAGAGAATGAGAGATTCCATGAGATGCATTTTTGTTTTTGTCACTTATTAGCAATTATCCAGATATTACTGGATATTACTGTCAGAATGAGCAAATTCTTTTGAATGTACCGTCTGCACCACTTTTGTATACTGATATTTGTTTCTAAAATAAATTTTTTATGTTATTTGATTTGTTGTGTATTAAATGACTGAAGTTATAATAAAGTTCAGAACAAAAGGCACAAAAACTGAAACTGGACCAGACTCATAATATACTGAACTGACATTTCATATTACTTATGTGGCTGAAAAACATCTGAGATATGAGAAGCAATTCAGAGATTTGGAAAGGACCAGGTTATAATGCATAAATGCACTGAATGTCAGACAAACCATTGGGACAGAAACACTATTTTATGCACATCTTCTTGAGAGTGTCTTCAGTTCTGTCTCCAGCATGTAAATGCTGCAAAGAGTAAGTCACAACTTTTGCACTCCCCTTGTCAAGTGGATGCTTGCTGTTCAGCAATAGTAGTTTAGTTAAGATAATGTTTATTTTGTTTCAGAGCGGAAATTCTTTGATTTTTTTGATGACTGTGTCTGTTTAAATTGCTGTTGAATGAGCAAGACAGCTGATGACACAGCAGAACTGTATTTTTCCCAGGGACAGGGGAACCCAGAGGACAAAAACAACAACAAATAATCTCATGCTGATCTTGTGGGTACATTTATTTGCTCAACAACAAGCCAATAATGTAGTATATACACATGTAATAATACAGCTCAGAAGTTAGAAAAATATATTATTAAAAATACCATTGTTCACATAAGAATTACATAGTTTCCCTCACCCACAAGAAATGTAAAATATGTTTAAAGGGAGAGGTTGGTTCAAAGAGTCGAAGGAATGTGACAACACCTTGAACCACTTGAACCGTGAAACTAAAGAGCCTAAAGGAGAAGGAGTTGATGTTCAGTAGAATGACATGTATAAGACCATTTTGAATGCCCCCAAAACCATCTTTGCCCACATGCCAGTCTGATTGTGTCCACACTTCAGTATCTGTATTGTAAAATACAACACGAAAAACCAGTAAATCAGTAAATTCATTATGCTGCAGCCTGGGCATCCAAATAACGAATATACACTGGAATCAGTTAAGTTAGCTTTTTATTTTTCATGTATATATATTTTAAAGAGGGGTGGGGTTATTGTTTTAGTAACAGACAGTAACACCCTCAAAGGTCATCGAGGATTATGGGTGCAGATGGAGTTTCGGTGTTGCAATCAAATGTAACACACCCACTTGCCACTTTCATCATCTCTCTCTCACTCACACCTAAAATTTGAATGAATGAAACAGGAAAAAAACGTGCAAAAAAGCCTTATCAGTAATGTTAATTTGCCTCTTTTCAGTAGAAAGATGATAGCAGAGGAAATACTTTAATACATTAATCTCTGTAGGCCACAGTGGATTCTTATATACTGTACAGCTGTATTATAGATGTGATTTCTTCAATTAATTGTTATACAGGATTCATTCTGTGAACATTTTAGACGTTTTTCAACAAATACTTAACCTCCAAATGTTCACTTAATTTATTTAAATATTTTCCTGTCTTTCTCTTTTCAGTGAAAAAGGGGGCAAAGTGTTTCAAAGGGAGCAATACTCTTCAAGCATCTTTAAAGTGACAACCCTTGAAATTCCTTTCTCTGATTCAGATTGCAGAGACAATGCAGCCACACAGATGTCCTCATGACTGTAAATGTGGTTGATGGTTTCTAAAAACACCCACTGAGAAAACCTTATCATTAACCTTAAGGTGAATGCCAGATTCAATCACTAAACTGTGACGCTTTTACTGTCTAGTGGTTTTAGTGTCCTTCACACACTGCTGCCAGTGGTAGGGGAGTAGTGAACTCGATGTAAGCTAGTAGTTACTTGTGCAGTAGTTTACCGGCAGTTGAACTACATTCATATTTGCACAGTACAACCGCAAATCAGAAACAGTTGGGACGGTATGTAAACTCAAAATTAAAACTGAAAATAGTGACGTGTAAATCATCTGTGTCCTGTATTAACATTCAAAGCAATACAGCAGAACGTTATTTGATGTGATACCTTATCAGTTGTATTCTTTGTTCAAAATAAACACTCACTTCAACTCTGATGCCTGCAACACATTCCAGAAAAAGTTGGGAAGGTTGTGCTTCAGGGCAATGAAGTAAAACAATGAAATGATGATTCCAGTTGAAACAGGTGGTGTCAGGTGATTGTGATCATGATTTGGTACAAAGGTGGCATCCAATTCCAGTGGAATTCAAAAACTATTTAATGAAAGGGAAGGGGGATACAATTTAAGGGGTCAGTTAAATTATAAAATTCATGCTATACGTACAACTAAAAAAAAGATTCTGTATTTCCATAAGTGGGGTAAAACTATGGAATAATTTAAGTGTGGACATAAAAAACAGTAAGAGAATTGATGAGTTTAAACACAAATATAAAGGTATGTGTCAATCAAGATATGGGCAAGAACAGGCTTAACGATTAATCAGGTGTAACATTGTGAGTGTGGTGTTTTAGTATATCACTAGCGTGGTGCAGAACAACATTATCTATGTAGTAATACTGCTTGCAAACCAATGATGATAAGATGATGTCATGGGGTAGGACTAGATAAGTCTAACTTCTTCCTACTCCGTTCAAGCATGTACTAGGTATAAGCAAATTGATAATATACTTGTGGATATGTGTGGAATTATGTGTGTTGACATATTGACTGTTGTTACATGTTGAAAGAATAAATCAAATCAAAGAAAGGCTGAGCCCTTTAGGAGCAAAGATGGGACAAGGATCGCCAGTTTGCCAACATATGTATGAGAAAATTACTGAAATGTTTAAAAAAAAGTTCCTCAAATTAAAATTGGAAGGGATTTGGATATGTCACCCTCTATGGTACATAACATAATTAAAAGATTTAAGGAATCTGGAAGGATTTGAGTGCGTAAAGGACAATGACGCAAGCCTAAGCTTGATGACCATGCTTTCTGACCCCTCAGATGGCACTGCATCAAGAATCATTACTCTAAGCGATATAACCACATAGGCTCAGGATTACTTTGGCAGACCTGTGTCAGGCACTACAATATGTAGTTACATCCATAAATGGTGTTTAAAACTGTACTGTACCAAAAGGAAGCCCTATGTCGACAGTGTCCAGAACCACAGTCAACCGCTCTGGCCTCGGAGGATCACAATATTTCACTCCAAATGTAGTGGAGTAGAAGTATATTGTAGCAATAATACGAATAATATGGAAGCTTCCATAAATACTCTCCACAACTGACATATATATCCTACTGAAATCCACTAAATTCCTAAATATACAGGCTATGATCATAACAGATTTGAGAATTTTTCACACACTTTGGGAAGTTTGTTTAGTTTTATTAAAGTGAAGTATAAAAGACAAGGTCAGACTGAGATGGTTTGGACATGTGCAGTGGAGGGATAGTGGTTATATTGGTAGAAGGATGTTGGAGATGAAGCTGCCAGGCAAGGTGTCAAGAGGAAGGCTAAATAGGAGATATATGGATGTGCTAAAAGAGGACATGAAGTTAACTGGGGTGAGTGTAGAGGATGCTGAGGATAGAGTTAGATGGAAACAGATGGTTCGCTGTGGCGACCCCTAACGGGAACAGCCGAAAGTAGAAGAAGAAACTGAAGTATAAAAGAAATGATTTGAGAGGCAAAAGGGAACTCACAAAGGCGAGTTTTAATATACAAATAATTCTTACAAACTCATGGCCCTTCGATGACAATTCGACTCAAATGGTCAGTGGTACCATTTGTCCCTTTGCGCGCACTGTACAAACAGGAAGTAGACGTAAAGCAACAGCAAAACAAACAAATCGAAGCCAGATTATCTCAAATTTATTTAGATTCAGAATGGAAAATCACGACACAAAGCCAATGAGTAATGTTAACAACTCAAGCTGCGTGTTATTTAATACACATTCAGAGGACTACCGATGCGTAAGTATCTAACGTCACTGTAAACTCAGTTTTAGCTTTTTAGCTAATAAGCTCGTTAGCTAACCATAACGTTTCGCCGCTAGCTCATTTGATGAATGCTTGTAGTGCCTAATTGTTTATTGATAGTTCGTTTGATTAGGTGATGAATGGAGATGTGACACCTACACGATTCCTGGGGCTAAACAGTAACGGTGCAACGGAGCTGTCAGTCATGTAACATGCTAATTAGTTGCATTAATTGGCCTGTCATAACGTTTTTTTTTTCTTACAATTAACGCTAGGTAATCAAAGCAGCCCACTACACTAACTTTACTGGTTCACCAGCTAATTGAGAGCTAACGTTAGTTATGTCTGACAACTAACTAGAGCTAACTGTCCACCTGAGCATTACCAGCTTTAACTTGACATCTGTATTCTTACCAATGCTGACTTACACATGTTTCTTTAATGTTAACCAACGTTATTACAAGTTGAGCGTCTGAGTCAGACCTGCTGAAAATGTGTTTGATTTGGTCAATGAGATGAATAAAGAAAGATAAGCACAGGTTTGGAGTTCCTTATCTTAAAAATGATAAGCAAACTAGTTAGCTGAAATGTGAAGGAGAAACAGGTGAAAACAATAATAGATGCACCTGTATAATATTTAACTCTTGTGCAGTTTTATAGTTAACTACTTTTTTAGGAAGTATTTTACTTTTTATATCATTTGCCTTGAACAGAATTAAATTATTTCTTACATATTAATGCATCAAAAATAATTATGTAATAAAATAACACTGAGGGAAACCATACATAGTTGAACATTCAGGGTTGTTTAAATAAAGGTTTGAATCCAGCATTTGTGTTATTATGTGTTACGGCTACTTTTACTAAAGTAAATTATCTGAATACTTCTCCATCACCAAACACTAACATACTGTAGATCTGGCTATCAATACCATAACCTTGTGAAGGTTCAGATATTATTGAGGCTGTGTCAGAGGGGCCTTGACCTACCTAATTGGTGTTTTTTTTTTTTTTTTTTACAGTGCTTTTAGTGCACTTGTATGTAGCACTGGACACTTAATTGTACTATTATACTCATTTTATTTGGAGGGAAGCACAGGG